CGGAGAGCTTTCAGTCGTCGGAGCAGAAGTCAGGCCACGCGGTGGTGGGAAGTCATAACGAAGAAAAGCATTCTAACACCTTTCACGCCGGCGATAGCGCTCCTGCGATGGGTGAGAGCGATGCGGGTGGGTCCCAGGACCGTAGTGCGTGTGAGGAAGCCGACGGGCCGTCATTTCCGTGGAGTCAGACTATCCGGAGCTAACCGGGGGGGGGGCGGCAACCGTGGGGGACGAGATCACGTCTAGCACCGCTTAGACTGGATATCAACCGCATCATGTCATCCAGGACGAAGGACCAGCAGCCAAGGAACATGTTGTGTGCGAGGAAAACGTATCATCTGCTAAGGACGTCGAGCCCACCGACGAGGAGGTGCTCGAAGCAGAGGGGTACATGCTTAAGATCCCGACTCGGCTCGCCAGAGCCAAGATTCGACATCAGACGAAAAAGCGTGCAGGTTCGTGGCACGTGCCCCGCTCTCGCAAGCGCCGTCACCAGTCAAAGTGCGCTGTAACGCAGAGTGGAGCCCAGATCCACCACGCACACTCTTTTACAGCTAGGAAGATAAAGGATCTTCTAAAGCTACCTGACTTAAAGAGTCGCCTAGCAAATCTGCATGCTCGACGACCCGTGTACAAGAAGCCAGTCGAGCAGGGGCTTGCGTTGATACACGAGCGGCCCTGGCCGGAGGGCATCGAGTCTATAGACGAGTGCATTACGAATGGGATCCGCTTCCCCGACCTCGGCTCTTTCCATAAGTGCCGCTGTGTCGGGGATTGCTTCTGGGACAGCTGCGACAACGTAGAAGCTGCCGTTTACTGTACCCGTAGCTTCTGCAAGCTGAACGGGCGCTGCAGTAACGCTCCGATTGTGCGTGATACGCTGAAACAGTTCGACACCGGCCGAGTTGGTATGGGTGTGTGCTCCACCACCTTTCTCGACATCGGCGACATTGTAGGCAAGTACACTGTCCTCAGCGAGTGGTCAGCAAAGATGGCAGGCCAACCCGACCAAGCCCTCATACAGAATAGGATGTGAAGGCAGGCGCTGAGATTACGATTAGCTACGGTAACGAGAGGTGGTTTAAATGCGCATGCGACGGATGCTGGGAAGGCAATGATGAAAACTAGGGGAATAAAAAGGAATCACGATGATCTCGCACACGTATAAAGCCAAGCAAGTTTTCCTGTATATATTTGCTGCTTTGAGAAGTGATTGCTCTTAGTTTTAGAGACGCTGGGTGCTTATACATGATTCAAGTCTCATTTTGCTTTTTTCTTGCCCCAGCACCAAGATGACGACGATTATGCAAGCTACAGCGGTCGCATCATGTATCCAACCAAATGTTATACCGATTGCGTGTGCGAAAAATTGAGAAGTGTATGTTCACCTCCTTTAGTACGTACAAGCTCACCTCATTTAATACATACCGAGAACAAGTTGTAGAAGAACATGCTCGTTATTTAAAAAAACTCATGCAAAAGGAGAGATGCGGAGTTGCGGCGCATCATACGCGCGCGTGCACGTTAGCGAACCACATCTATTAAGGAGAACTACCCAAACTCTGAGCTGTAGCCGGCTAAATCGAAAGTGCTGGGTTATCAAAGCTCAGAGCCGGACCCACATTTCTGGACCGACCTCCTCCGTCCGGTGCATGTAATGTGGCACGTTTTCTTTTCTTCCTGTTGTCAAGAATGCTGCGACCGCAACTGTCCACGTATTCAGTGATACGCAGCGCGTATAGCACATATACACAAGCGCCAAATACGAACCAGTAGTTACAACCGCACGTCTGTTTCTTAATGTCGACGACCCATCCACCTGCAGGCTGGTCCTACACCTCCATTTGGGCGTAGTTAGCACCCATCTGAGCTGAAGCAGCTATACCTTCCTCACTTCGCTTGTTTGGGGCAACGGAAACACGAGGAGCGAGGGATGTCTTGACTTGCATGATATCTGTCCGCCCAGCACGCTCATTATCAGGAGTATCGTCCTCTACCGTCGTCAGTAAGTATACTCACACCAGCTCCGTTACCCTGCGTGTGAGCGTGTCGGAAGGTATGACCCCGAACGTGAATGCCCGCGTGCTAGAAGACTGATCTTGGCAACACGCGCTAAACTCGCGCAGCAATGTTCCCATTTTCAGCCTACGACGTAGCGTGTAATCCCTTTTGAGTACGGCGTTGAAGGCTTCAACGGGGTTGTTAATGGTGGCGAAACCAGCTGGAGTAGCGTACGCCTGCCACGTGCTACACATCCCTTGCAGCCATTGCGCATCCATGTACTTTGAAAATAGAAACAGTCTCGGATCAGTTTCCCATTCCACCAAAATTGCGTCCCGCAGCCTCAAATACGCATGTTCAGCTCTGTCAAAGTGTAGATCGTATATATCTTGCAGCACCTTCGTCGCTAGCAGCGAGGGCAGTGACTTTATTGCACTCCGAGCCTTCTCCATCACATAAAAGAACATGAGAAAACGAAAGCGGGGATAACCTCCAAAAACTTTAAGCAGCGCATTGCTTTGAGCATTATCTCTATCCACCATCGCGTACTGTAGAAGCGATATTTACCTGAAAACCAGCAATAGAGCCGAAGAAGAGACATCAGGGCAGCTTAGATGTACTGTGTCTCCTGAGAGACGACAAATAGTACAGCTAGGTGGAAACGCCGAGAGCGGTCGTATATCCCGACCACGAGGACCGGATAGCCCACGTGGTTGGTTTTATACGTAGCGTCGACATGCAGCACGAAACTGTCCGGTGGCAGCATCATCCGAAGCATCAGAGCTTTAGTTGTAAGGCCGATATTAAACGGCCTCTCGTCTGAGCCGTTTCCAACAGCTAGATTTCTATCGTAGTCGTAATTCCACCCAAACGTAAAAGGCTGCGTTATTTGCTCAGATCCGTGGAAGGTGTGGGACTGAATCCACGCCGTTAACTCCTTCAAACGGTCGTGATTTTCCAAAAAGGTCCTTGAACAGTGATTAACAAAATTCTGAATAGACGTAAGTGATGGCAGGTCCTCTAGCGAGGTTTCAATATTTCTTGAGAGTGCAAGCCGAATGCGCATAGGTCGTAGTTGCTGGTCTGCCATCTCACGACAGAAGCTCTTTTGCGTCCAGGGCAGCTTCTTAGGTTTAGGCGGCTCAGTCGTAGTTAGATGAACGCCAAAATCGTAAATAGATGCAATCTTTGACTCCATGCGCGTCACCACCTTCCCCCCTTCAAGAACACTTCACCTCGATGGCCTCGTCGGCCTCAGTACACGCGTCGCAGCTGCATTCTAGCAGCCTGTAACGCATTTTGTGATCGGAGTCTGCGCATATACTGCAGGCTATAGTGTTACTCTTGTTAATGTCAAATGCCTTGCCATCGCGCAGCGCGTCCGTGTCGGCCTCATTGACGTGTAGTGCAAGTTCTCACCAAGGCATGCGCCTCGGCATTTTTCCTCGCGTCGATCTGAGAGCAATGGGCGCGGTCTCGCAATCCACAAATCTGAGCGTGGGACTAGTGCCGTGAGCGAGTGCTGGTTGGCTAAAATGAAAGTGGTTCTAGTTGGATTTCGACGGATCAATAGAAGTGGCACATGTATCCAATCTAGCGTCACCAGTCTGATGTTGATGTCGCTAGCTGAATATCCTGTTACTCCAGAGCTGCCTGAACCCAGGACAGCTTACATGCTAAACAATCACACTTTGCAAATTGCATTCAACAACACAAGCTCCTCTACTCCACTCTTCCAACTGTTTTGGTAGCATGCAGCGACTGCTGGTTGGCTAAAATGAAAGTGGTTCTGGTACCATGTAGAGACTGCTCGTTGGTTAAAATTGATTTTGTCCGCGGCGCATGAGGTCGTTTCATAAACTAGGTTGGATTGGTTGAATAGTTGACGGGATCCCCGTTTGTGGAAACTAAGCAAATGATCAAATTCAACGATTTGTTGTGTGGTGCCGCAGCACCTTGGGGTGCTGATCATGGTTTGTTGTGCTGCCCCATGTTTTGTGTGCCAACACAGCAGTGTTGGGTGGCGTTCTCGATGCTCCCAGTCTGGCATAATATCCACTCTCTTTTTGAAAATGAATTAAAATAGTACCGGTTTAAAAAAGAAATATTTGATGAGGGTCTCGGACTAATTGTTACTAATAACCCCAATCAGAATTACGGTGGTAATTTTTTTGCCGCTCGATTTGCTGTGTTATCTCGGGGGCCAATTTAAATAAAACGGACAGTGCATAGGGCCCGATTTAGCTATATCTGATCCGACTTAGAAACTTAATGGGTCGATCACGTTTCGTTTGGGTAACGGATGAAAGCATGTGCGCACTATTGCGCGACTGCGAAGTTCAACAGTGCTGTGTCAACCAGACTACGGTACGCATAATCGTTGGTTGGAGGTGCTCTGCCGGATGATTTTGACCACATTTTTTGCCGCCCAAAGCCTCGACAGTCGACTTTATCGTGATGCTGAGAAAAACAACAATGGCTTTTAAAATTGAAATTGAGTTGACGAGCTAAAATGACCAGGATTACCGTGCACGTCGAGACTACAGAAGCCTTTCCCGTACGCGCTCTGCGTGCTGAGGAATGAAATTGTGTACATGTGGAGCATGTCCGTGGAAGCACCAGGTAATAATACCACCAATCGACATCATGTTTCGCAATCCTTTATAGGAGAATACATTAATGAGTAAGAATTATATTAATTTTTAGTCTAATAATTAAATTAATTAAAAGTCGATTTTAGTATTTTTAACTTTTAAAGGTCTCTCTAAAATAGAGGTAAAAATATCTGCAAACACACAAAACATCGAATTTGAAAAATGATCGTGCATCCATTCTGTCCGATTTGATGCAGCTTGAAGTTGATGTCAACGAGCCAATCACAAGTCTCCCAAGCACGTTGCTGTTTGGACTGCTGTTGGACTTTACATCGATGCATCTCTTAAAGCTCAGCCTGATGTGCTGCACTTCAACAGCTTCTTCCCCACTTTCTCATTTGCAGACTCAAGCTCTTCGCCATGCTGAGCAACATATTGATCCGGACGCAGCGTCAAGTGGCTAAGGCAGCCGCGACAGGAGCTCGTCGTTGGGGAAGCAGCGGGGCCAGCACCGGTAAATCGCAGTTCACTTCGCCGATGCCGCTCACCGTCCTGACGGAGGAGGAGGAAATGTTCAAGGACTCAGTGGCCCGCTTCGCTGCGGATGTGATCCAACCACGCGTCCGCAGCATGGACGAAGCGGGTGAAATGACGCCTGAAGTCATTCAAGGACTCTTTGAGAATGGACTTCTGTCGGTGGAGATCCCGATGGAATACGGTGGAGTGGGAGCGTCATTCATGAGCTTAATCCTGACAATCGAGGAGTTGTCTCGCGTTGATGCGAGTGTTGGTCTGCTGTGCGATCTGCAGAACACCGTGGTGAGTAACTTGTTCCTTCGTTATGCCACCGAGGAGCAACGTCAGGAGTATCTCCCGCGTCTGTCTACGAACACGGTTGGCAGCTTCTGTCTGACGGAGGCTGAGTCCGGCAGTGATGCCTTCGCACTCAAGACGAAGGCCGACGTCTCTGCTGACGGGAGCCACTATACGCTGAATGGCGAGAAGATGTGGATCTCCAATGTCGCCCATGCCGATGTGTTTCTGGTCATGGCCACTGTGGATCCGTCTTTGGGCTACAAGGGCATCACTTGCTTCATTGTCGAGCGGGGCACTCCTGGTCTGTCATTTGGCCCCCCCGAGAAGAAACTCGGACTTAACGCGTCCTCCACTTGCTCTGTCATCCTCGAGGATGTCAAGATCCCGAAGGAAAAGGTACTGGGCAAGGTTGGTCAGGGCTACGCTATTGCCATCGGCCAGTTGAATGAAGGCCGTATTGGCATTGCAGCGCAACAACTGGGTATTGCTGAGGGAGCCTACCGTCACGCGATGCCCTACCTCTTCGAACGGAAGCAGTTTGGTCGTGCTATCGGCGACTTCCAGGCCATGCAACACCAGTATGCCGAACTGGCGCTGGAGCTTGCGAGTGCACGACTGCTCGTCTACAACGCCGCTCGACTCAAGGACGCCGGCCACGAATTCGTAAAAGCATCCTGTATGGCTAAGTTGCACGCGTCACGCGTCGCCGAGCGGACGTCCTCAAAGTGCATCGAATTGCTGGGCGGTGTGGGTTTCTCGAAGCAACTGATGGCAGAGAAATTCTACCGAGACTGCAAGGTCGGCACAATCTACGGCGGCACGAGCAACGTGCAGCTCAGCACCATAGCCCGGTTGGTCAAGCAGGAACTCGTCTAAAAACTTATAAAGCTGGGGGGGCTTATCCAAAAAAAGTACTGCGTGCTACGGTAGTACATAAATTAAAGAATAGTGGTGTGTTTCTGCTTCCTCGTGGTATTTTAAGCACACAAAATTAGAAGTACAGTGTACTACAGTAGTGGTGATTGACTACTACTGTAGTTCACTGAATTCAACAAGCATTTACTCAGTCATGGCGGAGAACAAGGGGTTTGCCAGCACTTGGTCCAGGCAAATGCGTCGGCGTGGGTCAACCTTTAGCATCTTTTCCAGCAATGCGATGGTATTCGATGAGATTCGATTTGAGTGACCCCACATCTCAATGACAGCACAAACGCCATGGCGTTTGACAGCACTGAAAGCCTTTTCTGATGGTGACGCCAACGACACGAGTGGTGAGCCAGTCATAATGATGAACCACATTATACCCAGCGACCACACGTCGGCCAGAGCAGGGTTGTATCGCTCACCGGCGACAACCTCGGGTGCCATGTAAAAGTTCTTCCCCACTTGACCTCCGTCACAGATTCTTCGAGCGTCTGTGGAGAGCCCGAAATCCGTGATCTTGCACACGCCTCGACTCAGCAGCACGTTTTCCAACGATAAGTCTCGGTGCGCCACTCCCAATGTGGAATGGAGATAATGAACGCCTTCCAACACTTGCCGCATTAGTGACAGCACCTCGTTTTCCGGCAGGAACATCGACGCGCGGAATCTCGAAGCTAAGAAGGAATGGAGATCTCCATCCTCGCACAGCTCATTCACGAGGTAGAGCCTCCCGCCATGAACAAAGTGGAAGTATGGTTGCACTACGTTGTGGTGTCCCCCGCTGGCCACTAGCATTGCTGCCACACGCTGCTCTTGGAACGGGTCGTCGATCTTTCTTGCGTCTTGGAATTTGTTTCGAGCTGCGGCTGCTCGCGCGAGTGAAATGCACTTGACTGCAACGTGATCGTCGTATCCCGCCAGCTCACACTCGAGCACCTCGCCGTACAGCGCAACACTGAGCTGCTGATGAACGTGGATAAGAGCACTGGAGGCCATGGAACTCGAAGTTGTGGCGTAAAGGTAGAAGCAATTGTGACGAAAGGTAAAGTGCTTGAAGGCAGGAGGATCCTCCTTCCTCGACAGGCGCAGTCGGCTCCGACCACCCCAAAGCGACACGTATCCGCTAACAGGTCATTTTTTTTCTAAATTCAACCTTTACTCTCAGACAGGGCTGGAATTCCCCTTTTGTCTCAAAGCGCTGAAGGCTTCAATCGGCTTCAGTGAAGCCGATTGTGATCGCAAGTGGGTACTTTCCGTTGATAAGATAAGATACCTAACCGGTAGAGTTGGTAAAGTTGAAAAACTTGACTGATTGCTGCACTTCTTGAAAACTTCTACAAAGTATCATAAAATGATACGAAGTAGCATTTATTATGAGGACAATTAGTTTACGATATTTCTAAAGGACCTCAGCGTTTGCCCACTTTTCATACGAGTTTCACCGGACCTTGCCACTGGCAACCTGCGTTTTTCGAAACCAACACAGCAACTATCTCGGCAGCGCACAGCCGCGAAGCTTCAGCTCACCTTTTCGTGGTGTCTTCACCTGTCCCACCCCACAAACGATGATATCGGAAAATACTGAGCAAGAAACGATGTCATCGTCACGACTTCATTCATCGCTCTTAAATAGCTGTCTACTCCGGCATATGAGCTCGGCGCCATGCGTTCGACCCGCACTGCACCGGCGTAAAGCTCATTTAGCTCGTCTAATAGTAGGAATATCCCGCGCGCGACCCGTCCGGGACCGGAATATAGCTCACTTGCGTTCGCATCGTCGGTGCAATATCCACACGTCCGCGTTTGAGCATTGGCTCACCCTCACTTTCAAAGCTGCTCCTCGTTCGAATTCTAGACGTTTTCACAGCATATTGCGGCGTGGGGGCCATCATGGCAGGCGGCGCATTCCACGCCATGCCGTTCGGGACGCCCTCTCCCCACTGACAGTCACCAATGCTGTTCACCACCATTCCCCCAGCTAGTCCATCAAACAGAGCCTGGCTGCCCTGTCGAACGCTCGTGCGCGGCGTCGGCTGCTGAGTCAGCACGTCGTCGTCTTCTAGCAGAAGCCTAAGTAGCTCCTGCATCATCGCCAGCTCCTCGGCGTTAAACCCGGCAAACAGTTCCATTTCGATAGTTGCGGGGACTACTCTCGTCCTCGGTTCGAACAGCGGGAAGTAGGAATGAGAGCGCAATCGAGCTACCGGTAGGTGCCATGATCGCCTTCCCATCTGAAGGAGTGCTGCAAGAAGGCGACAATGGCCATCCGGTGACACAGCGCGTCAAGACAGGTGGCGGTGACCAAATCGCATGTAGGATCATGTACGAGGAAGCCTATTCTTTTGTAAGCTTAGGCTAGGAAATTCCTAGTAAGAATTCGACTCAAGACCTTACAACGCCGCGGCGAGTGCTACATCGTCTCGTTGAGCGTGAAACAAGCGAGACTATGCTCGTTCACTCACTCAGTTGCATCGCCCCAATCCTTCAACCTCGGTGTATACATACATGTATTATACTTGCTGCTTGGAAACTTTGCCTGCCAAATTTAGGCTTCTGTACGGTTTTGCCACGACGATTTTTCGTTACTCAAGCCGGAGAGCTCAATCCCCAAATGCTCTCGCGTGTTTGATAAACATCAAACGTTAATTTCAGCATCACCCCCCCCCACCTGATGACCACAGCCTCGTCTTCAACGGGACTGACGCTCTGTCAATTGCAGTGGAGGCCGTTGCCTGCTGTCGATCTGCTCGAGGAATGCCACTGGCTGGTCAACATGGACGTCAGGAATGCCAATCCAACAAGAAATTCGAAACAATTTGAAGAACGAGCTCGTCTTAGGCTTGCGAACGGGATCTCCAACAACAAAGAACCGCGAAACCTCAGCAAACAGAATTCACCTTATCGTCGATCACTGTGTCGGCCGAAGCCACCTGCACCATCATCTGGATCACCAGCTCAACGAGCGGCGAAAAGTATCTTGAAGCTAAAGGAGGGGCTGCTACGTCTCGATGACACGAATTGGTTGCAAGATACATTTGTTCAAGGTGACAACGCGCTTGCTAACGTCGCGTTAGCACAGCAACCGGTTAGCAAGGCAGATGCTAAGACTTTTGAAGTATCCTTGACATCGAATATCGAAAAGTCTACACGTAGAGCGAGGGGTCCTAGCAGAGCAAAGACACCGGAATCCATACGTAGTCCAAGTAGGAAGAAGAACAAACGACCACCGACTCGTGCAGAGCGTGACCTCGCAGAGAAACAAGAGCGTCTTGCAGCATGGCTCAAAGCAAACCCCGAAACAAGACATGTTAGTGTCGTTGAAGATACGTATCTACCCTATTCTGCAGAAATGGAATCTCGAATTGACTCGGCAATGCAGTGTCAAATTTCACTGGAATTGGGGGTGAGACTTTGGGACGACTCAGTATGCTCGATGCTTGCAGCGGAGATGACCAGCGAGTCGGTCTTTGGAGGTATCGTTCCGACACGAGCATTGGCCTTCCAGTCTCTGCCCAAGCAGCCACTACCTGCTACGGATGCGAAACCCCAAGAATTTAAAGAGAGAGTCGTCGACGTTGCCGACGCAGAATCTCAACTATCGGATCATGCTCAAAAGGTGTTTGGTACCGCTCACAGTCAAGTCACAGATGGTGCTGTTGCAGACGCTATAGCCACTCTCCAAGCTGGCATTCGCCACTCCCTCTCGACATCTCAAGCCCGTCTTGACGTTGCAAGCGGTTCAAATGGCGTGGGGTTTAACTACTCGGTGGTTGTCCACAAATGGGCGACGAAGTTACAGCTCTACTACCGTGCACGGCACCGGCGACGCGTCAATCGACTGATACTTCTACAACGTCAATGGCGTTGGTGGCACGCTCGAAGACGTGCATTGAAGGCAGTGCAGTTTGCCAACCAGCAAGTGTCAGTCATTCAGCGTCACTACAGACCTTGGTACACTCACGTCACACGCAAACGCAGCGCTGTGCGGATCCAGCGCTGCTTCCGTATGTTCGAGAGTCAAAAATTCCTTATCCACTTCCAGCGAGTCTGTCGACTGCTGCTGGCACAGAAAACTCGCCGTCGACAAGTCAAAAATCGAATTCGGATCATTGCCAATATCATTTTCCTGTTTCGGAAACGACGTCGGCAAATTTCTCTCATCCAAAGTCTCTGGCGCTGTCGTTGCGCTCGGGCTCAGCTAGCCTCGCTACTAGCCCATGCCACCGAATTGGAACTTGACCGACGTGCTCGGGAGGACTCGTTCGTTGCTGGGAAACTAGCCCAAGCACGAGTACCTTTCCGTGAGTTTTTAGATAAAACGAAACGAGGGCGACAACTAGTGCGTTGGCAAGCGGAGAAGCCTTGGCTGCGTTTTCGACGCTTGCGGTATAACACACAACAATGGAATGCGCTTCCCATGTCCGATAAAATCGAGGCTGTTGCTAGAATCCTCTCGGGTCGCACGTTTCGAGGCTTGCAAGAACGAGCGCTTTGTCAAATGCTGGTAGGGAAAGACAAGCAGTTGCCAGCACTTCCAAAAGTGTTGAAAGCGTCGAGTGAAGAGCTTAAGGTCCTTGAGACTACTTGGACCGACTCGGATACCGCAAAATCTCGAGAGGTGAAAGGCAGCGGTCGCTGTTGCCCGTGGACGACAGTTGTTCGAGAGAAAATGAGGCGTATTCGTGGAGAGTTATCGCGTCGAGCACCGACATTGTGGTGGGCTATTGCCACGTACCCAACGGAATACTGCACAGCTCGAATGCGGCCCATTCGACAGCGTCGACGAGAGCTTGCACGACAGCAACTTGAGGACGATTTTGTACGAACTCTTACGGCTTTCTTGCGCGTATGGTTCCGACGCATCGATTCCAAGACAAATACACCAAGACATGCGTGTGAACGGTGTTGCGAACCTTTTGCCACGTATCGCGGTTTGCACGCGCATGACAAGTGTGCAGCTGCTCGAGCACGAGCCAAAGCAGAATGGGCGGCAATGACTAGCGACCTGCAGTTCGAGCGTCGTAGGAAGTGGCGAATCTCGAAATTTACACACAATGACCCCGTTCGGACGGATAATTACGTATTCGACTTGGAAGCAGCCTCAGTACGTCGTCTTAGACGCACACGCAGCCGTCGGAAGGCACTGAGACCACTTGTCGCTACGTTGGAAGCCTGTACTGCAGGCGACAGCTCAATCGCCGTGATTCCTCTGGACGTCGCGGCTTTTGTGTTACAATATCTCGACGATAGCAACAACCTGCATCCACTCATGAAGACCACCGAACATCAGCTTGTACGTTGGAATAAACTCATTGGGTCAATGGAGGTGGAGAGTTTGAGGCAGACTTCAGAAGGCTCTGGACGCGAAAGCCGTTGGATTCGCCAAGCCGACCTACGCTCACGCTTGATAGTTGGAAACAAGTGGAGGGAAAACTTGAGTCGGTGGCGTCGAATTCTGGGTCGCCGAGCTCCGAACTATCGTCCTTCGCCTGTGGGGAATGAGTTGCAGGTCAATCGTTGGAATTGTGTTACGTCAAAGTGGAGGAAGCTGCAGCTTCGGGTCAGACGAATGGTCCTTGGACGGCAAGACTCGAACACAGCACAACAGCCAACAACTTCAGTTGCAGGAATAATCGATTCTTGATCACTTCAATTATAATAGCTGCCATCACCAACATTTGAGCATCGCGCGGCCTCTAATCCGCTTGACCTCCGCTGGAACGAGTGACGATATAGGCAATTTTTGTCTAAGCATCCGACCTTTACACTGAGATGGTGGACACTACAGTACATGTAGTTGCAGCTCCAAGCTTTGCAGTCACTCGCTAAGTTAGTTGTAGCATTGCTAACAAGACCAGCTTGGCATTGCATGAGCAGCAGGATTCCAATTCAAAGCAGAAAATACGATCGATGGCCCCACGCCCGCGTGGCGCGCAGCGAGGCCGGCAGGCTCGCGTGCTGCCCGCTGCGCCGTGACGTGTGCTATTGCGCGTCGAACAGAGCGCCGACGGCGCATTGCGGGAGTTTGAGCCCCGATACGCCAAAAATTTAGCTTCAGGACGGGACTTTTGCAGTGCAAAAGTTGGTTGGTGCAAATTTTGCACCATACAGACGACGCTGGCAAATTGCCAGTTCCAATACAAAAGGCAAGTCGCTGCACTCGGGTCGAGTTGTCGACTTCAAGCCGGACGCGAGAGCGCTCTGCCACGAGCACTGCGTCATCACGCCCGGCGACCATGAGCTGGAGTCCAGCCTGGACTCCATCCTGGAGCGCAAGGAGTGAACTCCACATGCCGAGGCA